AGAAGAATGCTACATTCGGCAACTTTTAACTCAGCTTCGTAGCTGTCGCATACACCTTTGAGCCGTATAACATGTATAGCTTCTCAGAAAACAACCCCGCTAAACCATAAACAGTCCCACCTGTCCCAATGAATGATGCATTTGAGTTGATTTCATTCCAATCGAAGGAGGAACCCAAATAAGCCTATCAATTGGTTGTTCCAAGTGTACACTAATTGTCTGAACTTTAATAAATTCCTCGATAGTCATACTTATGCGGACCTAATTTCAAAAATATGCCCATATACTCCTTTACGGAAATTTATATAGGTCTTTTAAATTTCGACGGTAATCCGTATAACTTCAAATTGGGATCTCAAACTAATCTCAAATGGGATCGATATACAATAATTCATATTTCTAACTTACTAACTGATTCAACTGATTCACTTACTAACTGATTCATGTTATTCAAGAGGGATGATCCAATAAGTGAGGAGTATTCATATAATAGTAAGCGTTATTGTCTTTGTTATGTATATATCTTCTTGAAAATTGTTAGTATTATTTTTTAATTTTTTTTTATATAAGACCTGTGATTAGTTTTTTTTGTTAGAAATATGTCAACCCATTTGAAATTAGTTTGTGAACCCAATTCAAAGAAAACTATTTACCCCACCTCCGTTACAATCGAAATTGACACAACCCATATACACTTCCATGAGTATATGGACATATTTTCAACTTTAGGTCTGCATGAGTACGGTCATTTCAAGGAGTTTATTAAAATTCAAAAAATTAAGCTCTTAGAACAACCAATTAGAAGGGTTATTTGGATTCCATATTCCATGAATTAGATTAAAATCAACTCAGATATATCATTCATTAAGACAGATGGTATTGTTCATGCGTCAGCGGGTTGTTTTCCAAGATCATTTGAGTACGATTAAAGCTATATAAGCCATACGGCTCAAAGTTGTACGCGACAAATATGAAGCTAAGCTAAAAGCTGCCGAATGTAGCCTCCTTTTAGCTCGACAATATGTATTTACATAGATATTAATACAATTGAATAACTCATTCATTGTTAAAACTATTAAAGGCGGCGAATTACCAGTGGAATATTACGATTTCTACAAGCATGAATTATTGCTTTATTTATTTTTATTTACAAGTCGTTCAAATGATTTTTTTTTCTTTTACACTAATGCATTTTTGTACTTACAGGAAATTACCTCCCAAAGAGTTCAACAATTACATGTTTGATTACATCTGTAGGGAGGGATACCAACTCATGAATTTTTTGGCTGTGAGAGCTAGAGATTAGATGCTAGAATGAATCTCGAACACTACTACGACAATTCACCGTGCTTTTGAGAAAGTGAAATATTATTATGGCAAGAATGATTTGGCCGAGACGACTTACTTTAGGCTTAAAGCGCAGATAGCAGGTTTCAATAGTTTCACATTTAACAAGTCTAATATTTGCTATCCTGTTAATTTTTGCACGTCGTCTTTCTAGGTGCTAGATTTGGACAATTCAATAGTTTCACGTTTTAATGGTTTATTGGCATCTTCGCCTATCTTCTCGATGTTTAATTCTAGTTTGTACTTATCTTAACTTTTGATTTTTTAGTTTTTGAATATATATGGACTGGTGATTAGTGCAACTAATTTTGATTTGACTATGAACATACTGCAGAGTGAGTAATATTATACCGAGAGCATAAGAGTTAGAAAATCTCCATGGATAGGCATTTAGGCCAAAATGATCAAATATAAAACAAATAAGTTACTCATGTTCGTCTATGATAACAAAAATTCATTTTAAAATACATATAAATACGATATTATACCTAACATATAACCATATCCACAGACAAAACAAAACCAAAGTCACCGGAGTGACAATCATATAACAATACATGGCATGCGATTTCAAGAGGTAGCTCGTACGGATTTTGGTCGGGTGTTCGGACAACCAAATCACCAGACCAAACCCCATTATGAACAGGGAGGTAGGGGTGCAACTTGGGCGGGCTCAAGCCAAGCAACCCGAATTTTTTTAAGGCTTGGACAATATATTTTCAAATTCAGTATGAGTTTGGACAAAAATTCAGAAGCCCGAATTAAATTTGGATGGGTTTGGGCAAAGACATCAAACATCCCAAGCAACCCGAAGTCCGAATTATACATATATAAATATATAAAAATATTAAATATATATATATATATAAATTATTAGCCATTAGATGATATTAAAGTAATTTAGATTATTGAATCATATTGAATATATATTATATATACAAATAATATAAAATCTTATTTTTTTTTTTTTTTTTCACTCAAATTGTAAAGACTACTATAGCGACATCTCTCTTACATTATATAAATTATTTGTATTGATGGTATTAATGATTTTCTATATATACAAAAAAAAAATGTAAATAGAGTCAAATTTTAATAATTTAATAATGTAGTTGCAAAAAACAAAATACAATTCGGGTAATTCGGGCAACTCGGACAATTCAGGTTTAACTCGGGTCGGGCTTGAACAGTCAACTTCGGGTCACAATTTGGGCTTGGGCGGGCCCGAGTTGCACCCCTACGGGGAGGGGCCTAGCTAGGGGTCTTTAGGAGTTAGTGCCCATGATTTGTGTCACTCCAAGAAGACCAATTATGTTGTGGAATTAGAGGAGATTAGGCCTAAGTTAAGCCACAAAGGCTTTGGGCCTGGTCCAGTCCCTGCACCTGGTGGAATCATTTTTCCGGACCAAATGAGACCTATTCTGGGACAGTCCAAAGGTGGTCTTTCCTCTCATATGCCTAAAATTACAAGCCAGATATGGGTCAAATGTTGTTGAAAACCCTGGAAAAAGAGACTAATGCAACCAACTTTCCGTCGGCTGCAGTTTACAAATTTACAAAATTACAATTTCATAGTTGGTCAATGGTTTTAAAACTAAACAAGAAGCGGAAACCGAACCAAACTAAACTAAACTACACGCGTTTGTATTGGACTGGTTTAACAGATTGCATCCTTATCACCTCGTCTCTGCATCCCAGATTTGTTGTTTTTGTGGCATTGATTGAGTGGTTGGAAATTTACATTTATCTTTCGACATTTCAATTGTCTAAATGCTGACTTCCAAATTCAACGTAATTTAGATCTCACTTATCTAATTAAATGTTGTTTAGATCTCTCAAATTTCAATCTCTTCTCTCTAGTAAATGAAAACTTATCTAATAAATTATCTGTGAATTGATTACATGTGCAAGAGATACTCAGCTATTGTTCAGTGGCTGAGGAGCTTTAAACTTTGGCCCCCTCTTGGTTTAGTGTCGCTTGGGTGTTCCTGGCAACTCAAATGCCTTGGTTGTTGAAGAGGGAAAAGGGTGGGGAAGAGAAATAATTGGATTATTATCCATCTTGACTTGATGTGGCTTATTTAGTTGGCAGGATAGGAAACATAAGACAATTTGATAGTACCGAATATTCCTTGTCTTTGCCCGTTATATTGATGTACCTTATTTCTATTATTTTGTATATTTGGGATCTGTTGGCCAATGTTACATGGATCTTAAAAATATATCAAATATCCATTTCGGACACTTCACACTTGGATTAGGGTTTGGGATATGCGTCTCACACTTGCAATTGAACACTTCTTGTGAGAAACTAAATTGGATTTTATATAAATTTTCATGAACGGTACGAGGGTGAAGTGCCACTTTCCTTCTCCTATCTCTTCATCTTTGTGTGTTACTGTTCACCTCCCTCAAACGTGCCCTTTTCAGCTGCTAAACCCTAGCTTATCAAGTACAAACCATCCCCTACTTATTCCCATACCTATTAGCTACTAATTTAATCTTAAAATCCATAAATCAGTGTTATCCAGTCCCTTTAATTGCACTATTTCAGAAATGATGCAATCTGCAAGTTATAGAAATCAATTCAATTCCACCCTCTTCCTTTTCACAAACACAAATCTTTCTTTTACCTCTTACAACACCTAAGAAGCACGGGTACGGGTACGGGTATGATACGGGTACGCCGATACGGCAAATTTTTAAAAAAGTAGGGTACGTGTACGTCTGGGGTACGCCAAATTTATTTATTTTTTTAATTTTAAATTTATAGCTAAACGTCCAACATACAAATTAAATTCAATAACATAATTAAAAAGAGAAATTACAAAAAAAGAGGAAACATAAAAAAAAAAATATGGAATACAAAAATCTGGGAAAAAAAAATGAACAAAGAAAATTTGTTTCAGTTTTTCTGATAACATGTGAAATGCTGTGGGGGCCACCCTCCATATTTGTGCAATAAAAAATATGGATGTAATTCCCCTATTTTTTTTTTTATAAGTATATCAAAGAAAAGATATTATAAACAAAAACGTTTTATTACACTGCACCCATTAGCTTAATTAAATTTTAATATAACTCAGCACAAGTTGTTCACATTGATTCAAAGACCAATCTGTTCTGGTAAGTTTGTTTAGCATGACAGAGTAGGAAACAACAACAAAATTAGTTTTTTCTATACAACACATATTAGCAATGGTAATTGGGAGTTTTTAATTTCTTGCACAAATAATAATAATAATAATAATAATAATAATAATAATAATAATAATAATAAAATAAAAAATTTGTCCATGCAATGCAAGGGGTTAGTATAGTTAAAATTATAAAAAATTTCTCTATCTTTTTCCTGCAAAAATTTCATCCTAATAAAATGTTATTTTCCTTTCCTTCCTTTCCTTTCACATTCAAACAAATTTTCTTTCTAATCAAACAGAGCCTAAAACGAAGAAACAGCTTAACAACCATTACAACAGAACAAACCTCTCATTCCAACAAACAGTCTAAAAAACCAACAGAATATATTAATATACGCATTCAAACACATTTTAAAAAAAAAAAAAAAAACAGAGATTGAGATTCAAAAGAAAGAGCATGCAAAAACAGAACAGCATTCAAAACCCTAGAAACGGAGGGAAACGAGGGAGTACCTGACGAGAAGAGGAGTCGTCATTGGAGCGGAGGGGGTCGTTTGCTGCCAAGGAGTACAAAAATCTGGAAAAAAAAATGAAAAAAGAGGAAACAGAAATCTGGACAGAACAGAAATCTGGAGAAAAAGAAAAATGAAAAATGATATGTCTTCGTCCTTCGTTTGCTGCGAAGAAACAGAAGAAAAAAAATCTGGAAAAAAAATGAAAGAAGTGGAAGAATCGAAAAACAAAGAGATCGAAGATGGACAGAACAAAGAAAAAAAATCTGGACAGAACAAAGAAAAGGAAGAAGAATCGAAGAATAAGAGGAGGAAGAATCGAAGATGAACTTACCGGAATGTGATCTTTGAAGGAGAGAATCGATTAGCACCTTCGATTAAACCTCTTTAATAGCTTCGCAGGAAGGAGTTCTTCAGCTCTTGTGAGTCACTGTGTTTCAAGAAAAAGAGAGAGACAATCGAATAGAGTAGAACCCTAATTTTAATTTGTTTCATGTTTTGTTTATTACAAACGTACCCCAAATTTATATAATTTTTTTAAATAGGCCAAAAAACTTGCTCCGGTACCCTTTAATTTGTAAAAAATCTTGTTTTGTACCCCGAAGTACCCAAAAATGTACCCGTAGCATACCGATTGCGTACCCGTCACGTACCCATCATTATACTAATCATATAAAACATACTTGGTGCGTTTTTGGCGTACCCGATATACGTACCCGCACCTGATAAGTACCTGGTACTTATACGGCAATATTTTTAAAGTACCTGTACTTCATAGTACAACACTAACCTCCTAAAAGCTTTTCAAGACCATATCCAAGAACATGTACACCATAGATCTAGACCAAGTATAGAATTTGTAGAGCTTTTGGATATGCAAGGACGTGCAAAAGTACCTTTTCACAGTAGCATCTTTTTATACACAAGAAGCATTCCTATAGGGGCCCCGGTTTCTAAAATTGTTTACTTATCAAAAAAAGGAAATTTAAGATAAAGAATTGAAGGGTGTAAGAACAACCCCAAAATTTTGTGTCTTCAATCTCAAATCACTACCTTTTGTAGCAATTTTTGAAACCCTTAAATCCCTATAATTTACAACCCATCCACCCTTCAATAACCCATCCACCCATCCACCCTTCAATAACCAATGTCACCCCCCCAAAGCCTATTTTTCAGTTGCCATTTATTAGGCTTGGGTTCACTACTAGTAAGAGCAGTTAACCTCATCTTGCTCTAGGTTGTAGGTCATTGACTTATTTTGTCACTTCACACTTCTCTTTCTTTATTTTCCCACTACAGGCCTTGCAAGGAAAAATAGAAGGCAAAAAAAGCTGGCTACTATGGCACAAAGCATCCAAGTAACAAAACACCCAGTAACACGAAACAATAAAAATAACAGTAAAAAAACGTAACAAATATTTTCTAACCTTTGAGGGGTAAAACACATTTGTTTGCTGCAGCATGGGCAAGCCAGGACTCCATGACTGAGACAACTTACCTTCTATAAGAAAATTGTGTCAGAAACTCGCATACCATTTTCGTTTCTTTATAATTACTTGTGAAGCAAAAGTAAGTTTCCATTAGAAGTCAATAAATCACCTAATTGAGTCTCTATGTACCATTCAATAAACCATATGAAATATATGTAGAAGTCAATAAACCATTCAACCATTTATGTAGAAGTCTTATTCTTTATAATTACTTTATATGTAGAAGCCAATAAACCATTCAACAATTTTCGACTGATTTACAGTTTGAAATCGTCCGGTTCAAATCAATCGGTTCAACGGTCAGATCAGTCGATTTCAAAAATTTGTTAGAGAGAGAGAAAGTTGAAGAAAAGAAATTGAAAAAAATGAAATTCAAAGCTTGCAATTACAGATCTTGAACTCAGAAGGGAGAGAATAAAGTAAAGAAATTAGGAAAAGAGAGTGAGAAAGGGCATCAATCAAGACCCACCATGCCCCCGACCACCACAACTACTGCTACTCACAGCTACTGCCATCACCCACACCACATCCATAAAGGCCATCATTAGCCACCATGAAAGAGGGGAAAGAGGAAAGAAAAGAGATGCACGTATGAAAGAGACAGATAATAAAAGAGAAAAGAAAACGTTTTGAAAAGAAAGACGAAAGACAAACTGTGAAGGGAGAAATACGAACCCTAACTCTATCTTCTTTTTTTTTCGTGGAATTGGAGTATAAATAAAGGACATAAAGGCTGAAATTGTGTGGGAACTTGAGTACAGCTGTCAATCTCAATTAATTCTAGAAATTTTAACAATTCTATAAAAAAAAAAATCAAATATTTTATATAGGTGTATTATGAGTCTCATGTACACATGTAAAATATTTAATAAAATTTTTAATAAAATTGTTAGAATTTCAAATATTTAAAAAAATTAAAAAGTTAACTTTTAACCATCTTTCCAAAACACTCCATAGTCAAAAAAGTTTTAAAAAAATTAAAAAGTTAATTTTTAATCATCTTTCCAAAACACCCCATAGTCGGATCAGATTGGCCAAATTTGAATCTTCCTTTTTGTTAGCCGATCACAAAATTGAAAAATCACTTATATTACAATTGCAATTGCCTGTGGACACTTTCGAAACCAATCGTTCCTTAATCAATTCAGATCGGTCAAGTTCGGCAAGTTCACGATTCTTATGCATAATTTTAAATATAAATATATATATAACAATAATAATAGATCATTTTTTCTTTTTAGAAGGCTCGATGTTCTAAAGCTAGCAAGCAAAAATAAAGAAAGAGTCAAATCTCGAATTTAGCATTTAATTATGAGTTAAATTAAGATATACTAATTTTATTACTCGGTTCAATTCCTTTTCCTTACAACGTATTACCTTAATTTGCATTCTGTTTGTTTTGGATGGAAGATAAATGCCCCCAAAAAGGTGTCGGGATGTTATTTTTGTGTAACTTGTGGGAATATTTTGACCTAAAATTTGTCTTTTTCCAACTAAAATTGTGTTTATCATGAAAATGTTCAGCAAATTAATATAAATAAGTTTTGAAAGATTTCTCAACCTCTACATAGAAGATTTGGGGAAGAGTAAACCTGGGTATTTGTTTGGGGGGATTAGAGGATAGGATAGGACTCCGTGTTCATTTTATGTAATAGTCCAATAATGTAACCCGCACTAATAATCAGACTATCAATCCCTTATTTGTTGGATTGTTGTGTCCCATGGGGATGTGGGATACAAAATGGTGAGATAACTCCTCCAGATTAGAGGGCAATGACATTTTTGGCCCTCCAAATTATTGTACTTAATAAAATAAAATAAAATTTAAAAGTTTCAACTAAAAATTAAAATAAATTTATTTAATTTTTATTGATGTTCTATTTATTTAATTTTTTAAAAGTTCTAACCGAAAGATAAAATATAATTTGTAACTCATATTTAGTATTCCTATTATTTAGTAAACAATTCAAAAGAATAAAATAGTCTTTTGAACATTTATGCTTCTTCATAATATCCCAAATAAGCGTATGATTCAATAGTAGAGTCATTCCTTAACTATGAAGCATGGATACTCCAAAAAAGGTGTTGTTCAAGTATCGAATACTTATCGGATATGGATATGCGTCTGATACAACGGCATATGTATCAGATACGACAAATAAATATCTGATTTTTTTTTTGATTTTTTTTTTAATTTCATATACAGGAGGTATACATGAAGGATACACGAGGGATACGCCAAATAAGTATCCAATTTTTTTTTCTAGTTTTTTATTTTTTATATTTCAATACACTAAATAAGTATTTTTTTTCCAATTTTTTTTATTATTTTATATTTATATTTTTTCAATGGTCAACACTCTCTACTCTCGTTCTTTTTTCTTCTCTCTTTTTTTTTTTTTTTTTTCACTTTTTAACTTTTTTTAGTCAAAAAAAAAAAGTACAAAAAAGTAAAAAAAAAATCAGTTTTTTAGCACAAAAAAATTTAAAAATCAAAAAAAAAAAGTTAAAAAATTATAGGTTGCTTTTTTTTTCCCCTACACAGTTTTAATGTAAGTATTTATTTACCAAAATTTTAATTTTAAGAACTTTAATGTTAGTAAATCTTTGTTTAACAGGAATCACTCTCTTTATTTATTAATTTGCTTTAGGTTTTATTTTTATGTATATTACATTATTAAAATTATAAATAAAATTTAAAAAAATTATGAATGTATCCCCACCCTGTATCCTACTTTTTTAGACGCCATATCCCATATCCGTATCTGTGCTTCTTGCTTTCCTGACATCTAATCTCATGACTAAACAAACATGGGATACACATCATTTTCAACAAAATAGTTTAGGGATTATGTATCCTAAGATTAACAGTTCGATATATTACATTCCCCTTATCCAATTCGCCCAAACAAACATGACCTATGTTCATTCTTTTCGATTAAACAAAAAAAACCATTTTAATTACAAAAAATACAATTTAAATTTCTCGATACTTGGGTTTGTTGGTGAGAGGGAAAGAAGATCCACAACGAGAGAGTCGTCGAGGAATAAAGCAAGAGAGCCTTTGATGGTCTATTTGTTTTTTTTTACCGTTGAAGAATATATTACCGTTGAATATATTGGATAAAAATGTGTTCACTAGTTTTGAACATCGAACCAACACCTGTGAGTCAATTTTTTTCTTTTTTCTTCCATAGTTTTTGCTCCGCGTTTTTGATTTTTAAAAAGGGCAATGCTAAGAATACCAAATTTTCTATGTGAGACAATTAGTCATTCATTTGGTAGAAAATTTGGAGCCTATAACATTTCCCTTTTAAAAATTCAAATAAAAAACATATATTTTGTGTTTTTGTTTTTCATTCTTATTTATAAACTAAGATAAAACTAACTATTTATAAATAAAAAAAAAATCATCCAATAAGTTGTTATATTAATTTTTAAATTTTTTGTATGTATAAACGAAAAACTAAAAATAAAATGGTCACTAAACAGACTCTTAGTATTTTATTTCATTACAAAATTAAGGCAGCCCATCAAATAATGATTCACACCCATTAAAGACGTATTATTTCATAAGTTTAAATCACCCTATTTGATTAACCATTTATAAAAATATTTTTTGAATTTTTATATTTTTCAAAATTTTTTTATTTTTCATAACTTTTTAATCTTTTATTTAACGTTTTAAATATTTTAGCTAAATTATTTTACTTTTTAGATCCACTTAATCTCGATACAATTAAAAACTAAATATTTGTGAAAAAATATTTTAAAAAATCACTAAATATAAAAAAAATACAAAAATTTAATACAATTTCTGAATTTTTCTTAAATATTTTATGTTTTAAGTATATATAGATTGCAAGCATTTAAAAAAGAAAAAAAAATTGACTAAAATATGGAAAAAATCTAAAGACAATAAAACACCAAAAACTCAAACTTGTGAAGTGACTACATCTATAAAAAATTCTAGAGTCCCCACTGTAATCATCACCAAAAGGTTAGTATCAAAGAGCTCTCTCTCTTCTTTTTCTTTTTCTTTTTTGTGTTTTAATGGATTTAGAACTGATATGGGTGAGAGTATTTTGGTGTTTTGATGGGTTTATTATTAATTTTGATGGCTTTAACTCACATAAAATCCTTTTGAACTCCTGGTTTCCTAACATAGTTCTCAAATCCATTTCTCTTTCTCCCTTTTTATCTCTCCGCTTTGTTTGAATTTGTTCCAATATTTCTCTAATTTTGTAGCTATGGCGGAGGAACACGGGTTTCAGTCTCCGGAGGGCTACTGCCTCTGTACCAACAACTGAGGCTTTTTTGGCCCCTCTCACCACCCTCAATCTCTATTCCAAATGTTATAGAGACCATTGTAACATTTGTCCGGGTATGTATATATATATACATATCATGCGAACAAGTGTTTGTAAAAGCACAAAAAGTAACAAAAACCCATGCTTTCTTTTTAATTTTCTTCTTTTTTGACTCAATTTCTTGAGCATCCAAACAAATTTAAGCGAGAAATCCATGAACAATGAACAAAAAATATATATAGATATATACATACATACCCGAACAAAACTTACTAGATAAAAGTCAGAAATTGGTCTATGAAGGATTGTCAAAATGAATTTGAA